ACAACTTCATCAAAAAAAATATTATATGAAACAATTTCACAAGATTAAACAATTTCATGAAAAAATTTCATAAGATTAAACAATGAAATCGACAGATGAAGGTGGTTTGCACGGTTTACACAAATGAGGGCGGTTTTCATATGATCACTCCTCTATATATGTATATATATATATATGTATATGTATATATATATATGTATATATATATATGTACGTATATATATAGGCGAAGGAGAGTTAAGGTGAGAAGCATAAGAAGCATAAGAAGGTATCTCGACCCTTGATCACCTTTAATCTCAAACCCACCCATAAAATACGTTTGATACGGGGATTGACCCAGTGCATCTGATTGCATCTCATCTCGGTGCATCTCATCCTAATGTGCATCCAAGGGTGGAGATCCCTTCTTACGCTACTCACTTTAACTCTCCTTCTCACCTGAACCCAACCCAATATATGTATGTATATATAGGGTTAGTTTCCGGTAAGAAGAGAAGTTATCGTGAGAAGCGTAAGAAGAAATCTCTACCCTTGGATCAATCCGAATTGAATGTCAGCACTAATGAGGTGCACCAAGTTTCACCGGATCAATTCCCTTCTAAAGTGCAATTCATGGGTGGGCATGAGATTAAAAGTGATCACGGTTCCAAATACTTCTTACGCTTCTCATCTTAACTTCCCTTCTCACACGATCCTTCGCCTATATATATAATATATATCTTTCCTGGGACAAGACAAAACTTCCTGGAGATAAGTAGATGAATATGGTTTGATGATTCACCAAGTCAGCATACAAGCTTAGGAACATCTAAAGCATAAATGAAGTAACAAGTTACTGCCTAGAAGTAAAGATGCACTCACCTTAATGTACAAGACGTGCGGTGATCTCACATAATGCCCATTGCTCAATCCCGACATCAAGGATATCAATGCCATCTTTGGGCACTCCCGCATTACGATCAAGTCCAAATAACCATCATCAAACTACACATCGAACAAGTGAAGAGTAAATCAAGGTAATACATCAAAGTAACAAAATATTCACAATTAGATAATTAAATACACAAGCAACACCCACAAAGCTGTTTCTAATTGCCAATCTAACTCCAAGAACTAGAGCCCCATGAAATTTAAGTTCATAAGCTTCATTCAGTTACAGAAAAGAATGTCTACATAAAGAAAGCTAAACAATATCATTGCAAATCGTTGTTATAATTGTGGAGATGGTTTGTTTAAAATCTTCTATCATAGCAAGAAAGGACTGCATGAGAGGGGACCACTTTGTGGATTCAATCTATTAGAACTTGGTAGACCGTTAAAAACCATAGAATCTATAAACTATAAACCAAACCAAATGAACCCAGTATATCCCACCTAGAGGTGAGGTCTAGGGAGGTAAGATGTAAGCAAGCATGACCTCATCCCTGAAGAGTGGACCCATCAGGAAGGAGGGTCTAGGGGGTTAAGATATACGCAGACCTGACCTCTACTGAAAAGAATCAGGTTTTTTTCATACAGTTCATAAGAAAAACCAACCTTGGCATTGGGCGCAGCCATGGTGTTTTCAGCACCCCAAGGAACATTATGAAGCCAAATAGAAACAAATGGACCATTAAGCTTTCTCCAACTTAAACTCCCCAATTCAACATTAGGGCCCTCATAACCATGCTGCCGAGCCTTAAGAGGTTCCATAGATTCAACACCTAAACTGCTTGGCTCTCCTACATCTTCAAAGCCAGGAGCAGGCACAAAAGAAATACATCCATTATATCTCCGCAGTCTTAGAATTCGTTGAAGACCCTGAATAAGTTGTTGCAAGAGATAACTGTATCAACTTTCATTCATAACACTTTATACACATTGACAAATGTCACTAACACATGCATCATCTTTTAGATACAAAAACAGAACCTAGGAATTGTTGAAGGGAGAATCCTGCAGATATAACACCATCAAACTAATGGACCAAGTAAGCAACTAAAATCTCTCTCTGCATATTGGTAGAATACTATCAGTAAATTAAATAGGCTCAACTGGTATAAATATTACAAAAAAGTATAATATTTATAAAGACAACTCACTCAAAAGAGTCTACTCAGATGTTTTATTTGAAATGCTCCATAAAGTAACTATACTTGATGAAAATAATTTCTCTTGTTCTATTAATCATATTTACTTTTTCTGTTCTGCCAACAATTCATGTATATGAAATTTATATGCAGGAAGAAAATGAACAAATGGACTGTGTACATCCCAGTCAAGTAAAACTGCAATGCCAATGAAATACATGACTGTTTGGATTTTTCATGGCTTTCTAAAAACAATTAATTTAACTTCTCAAATGCCAAACATGTTTTTGAATTCACTCATGAGCAGGAATCTAGCAATGATTTATATTGACATTTACTATTTTTACTACCAGAATCCCAGAGTCAATAGTGGATCTAGGAGTATTAGCATAGTTGGTCCTTTCTACATCGTACTGTACATATCGTTAAAGAAGTAGAAAATGGCAAAAGGAAGTCCGAATAAAAGGAAAGAAACAATGGAAATACATCAAATAGTTAAAAGGTCCAGAAATGGAAAGAGAGAAGAAGACCTTGAAACAGAAAGAAAGAGGCCACTACTTCTTGGAATGAGTTTGTAAGTTTAATCATTTTTGTGACCAGAAATATTACTACTTTGGCCTTGTAATGATTCCCGATCGTCAAACGAGTGCAGTCACTTTTAAGGATGTTGCTAAAATTTCATCCAAATGTAGGCTAGGATGATCCTATGACCATAAGATGGATCAGCCCTGTCCCAGAGTTGGTGCAACATCACAAAAATGCAACTAAATGTGTCAAATATCAAGAAAAGAATGTTGACATGGGAGGAAGTGGGATGCCAAATAGTCTTTTGCGTTCATTGAGGGATGGAGACAGCAGTACCTTTCAGAAAGAAAAAAAATAAGAGATGGCTCTTTCAAGGAATCAGCACTCAGACAACTTGAACTCTTGATAGTTCCTATTAATTAGTCACAAGATTTATATTTCAATAGCAGTACAAAGTAAACTTATTAGACTTTTGATATAGAAGCCATCGAGGTTCAGCTTGGTATTTTACACCAACATGCCTACATATTTTTATAAGAACCTATTCATATATGTTCCCAGGACAATCTCATTGAGCATAGAGTATAAACACCTGACCACTTCGGATTGTCCTGCTATATTTGATCTACACACAAACTACCGACAATTGCATGCTTCTTCAATGACCGTAAGAAATGCAAAAAAAAAAAATCCTGAAACTTACATAGAAATCCATTCGAGCACTTCCCATCCACCGATACTGCTCAGACTCGATATCTATATCTGCTATCAGCCCTTTAAAAGAAAAAGAAAAAGAACCATTCATAATTAACTACTATGGAACTACCTGGTAAGTTATGATCATAAAAAACCAAGTGCAAGGGTAAAAGATAGCAAGACCAAATGACGGTGTAAAAGTTCAAATAGTTTATACCCCATGCAAGCATCAAGACACTATAAAATCTAGTATCCCCTTGCCAAATTGTGGCTACATCTAGAGAGCGTTTATGACCTGCCACAAAAAGGAACATGCAACAAAAACTTCAATTAAGGCACTAGGACTTCCAAGCTCCAATAAGTAAACGCAGGTATACAAAAAAAAAGTATCAAATAAAACTATACCTCGAATTGCAGCAAGCATAGCATAAGCAGCTGTACATGGCTGACCAACCGAATCTAGAAGAGATTTTATCATGCCATTTCCAGTACCTTCATAAAAAAGTATTCATGTTTAAGTTACAAAGCTAACAGGAGAGAAAAAATTTCAGCTGATGCCAAACCAAACATTGATCCCCCTCGACATAATAGAATTACACCAGGTATGAGCTGAAACTAACTTGGGCATAGCTGCATAGGTAGGGAAAGGGGAGTTAACTAAGAATGACTTCACATTAAATAGTATGTAACGCAATTCATGTATCTCTTTAGGTTGGATCATATTTTAGTTTTCTTCGTAGTTTTCTAGGGCCCACTTTTAGCCAATTCCAATTAGTTTAGAACAAAGGCATTTTTTATTCAATTGAGCTCAGAATCCATTATACGCTAAGAGGTTGCGGTTACTATGGAGCAGTCATTCACTATACCAAGCTGAAAAGAAAATAAAGAGAGAATAAATTTTCTGTTCCAAAACACTGCACAGTCCACTCGACTGCTGTTTTGAGTGAAATGGTAAACCCGTCATAGTTTAGTTGTTTCACAAGTGGATGGATTTTATGAAAGAAGTTCTCCATAGATAGTTCCTAGCCTCCCCTAAAAATTCACAAGATAAATATTATGACATAACTTAAGATTTGGTATCCATTAGTAGATGGATCACGATCAGCGTAACCCCGTATCGAACTTCTGAAAAAATAAAAATTGAAAACTGAAAAGTGATATCATCTATCAGAATATACTGACTCCATGAAACTCACGGTAACCTTCCACCACACATGCTAAATATATTTTTATAGCAAAGGGCGAGGAAAACCAATAGCGAGGAAATAATGAACAGACCTGCAGGTATAACTCCAATAGCCATCTTCAGTGCTGCTTGCCAGTCTTCTCTTTCAAGCAAACCATTGACAACCTATATGCAAGCACAATGGTGTTACAATATGCGTCAAACCTATGCAACCACAGTGGTGTTACAAATCAAAAACCATGTACACATCCACTGATGACAAGTGCATGCATTATGATATTTTTGGAACCTACTGGATGAGAAAATTTCAGAAATTTGACTGAAACAAGTGTTTCTCAGTTTAGTTAGGGAGTAACTCCATACATGATACGCCTCCCTGTCCTGCATGATCTGCAACAATTTCCTTTTACAGGTCTCCCACAAGAATTGCAATTTTTCCATTATTGGAAAAGGTTCAAGTCAAATTGCCTATTGTTCATGTAATGGCACCAAGGGAAATTGTGATTCATTTTGGTCACAAGAAAGTCATTTACTTTCAAGCTGCAAAGGTATTCGGGCATTTGTCAACAAAATTAGATATGCATGCAGGGTCAAATGTTGAACTCTTGTGCGAAAGGTAGTAGCTAATCATAATACAAAATATGTTCTATGTTTCAACTTTCAAGAACCACCGCTTCTTAGTTCTGCAAATATCGAAAAATCCTGTGGCAACACTCGATGTCACCATTTATGGGACCACCCTTTTATTGGTATGCACAGCCAATCCAACTTCCTGCATGTTCAGTTTATTATACACACATATATACATATACAAAGCCTAGCTACATTATAATTTATTGTGGAGATGGTAAGGTTGCAATCTCTACATTCAAATATCTTCAAAATGTACAATAATGTTTTACTTCAATTTCATGTAGCATAGTTTAGTTCTCAAGGGAGATATGTGTGACAAACCAACCTCAACCAATATGCCGTCTCCGCTTACACAAATAATGCCATCGTACTTTGTAAGATCCAATGTATGAGAAACTTCTTTCGCATGAAGCTGATATTTAGTTTCTGCAGTTAAAATAACACGAATGAGCATGATTTTGCTACACACGATAAAACAATAATACATGCTTAATAGATGCACGTGCAACAAACCTTGTAATTTATATTCGATATTAGCATCCTCGAGTATAGGTTTCACATCATCAGTAAAAACCTTGAAAGCGGATTTCCTCCCTCCAAACGGGTTAACAAATATAAACAGCTTCTTTGGCCGGCCTGTAACAACAGCCATTCTAAGAGAAATGAGAAGTACCATACTTGGAAAATCGGATGTGATAAATAAACAAACAAGCTTCTTAGCCAAAGCAGGTGGAAATAATAAGAAATATGTTGAGGTTAAAGGTTTTACGCTATCTGTACTGAAAATCAATCGTGTAGCCTCAGGTATATTAACATGCACTACAATTAAAATCACCAGTTGCAATGGATACATAGACTCCACAATCTTAAAGAATCCATTTAAACTACCTGATCAATAAAAATCAGCACTTGACGTTAGACAAGCCATAGATGATACTCCCACTGTTTCTGAATGAAAACATTATCATGAATTTTCTGCTCATAGAAGGTGTTGATGGAGAAATAAGACTATGCCAAACACTAACTTGAAACAAAAAGAATGCAAAGTCATCTATTGTAAATACTAAAGTTTATCCATTTGACCATAGGAAACAAGAAGTTGGAGTAGAAGTTCCCTACATCACAAAGTAATTACAAGAAAGTGAACTCATACCTTAGAAATGAAAACTGAACAAGGTGTTTGACCCTAGAAACTCATTCATTAAAAAAACTGTAACAACCATAATCCGTACACCACTCCCCAGTGCTCTATTACAGTGCAGAATTGCCCACGGGACCACAGACCAAACAAAATTGATTAGTACCTTATTATGCCTTTGGTGAAAGTTTTATAATAATCTCAGAAGTGACCACCCTATAAACAGATTTAAATAATTATAGGAGTAAAATAGTCATTTTTCAGGAACCAAAAACTTTAAAGACTAAAATTTCAATGTCAAAATGCAGCTGTTCCTATTCCTCCCTTTCAAAAAGTAGTCAGTCATTTTTCTGTTTCCCTCCCTCAATTAGTTTAACTACTTACTGTGATATAATTTTGTTTTTCCCCTATTCCGTATATTGTTCGTCTTTACTATTTACATGCACAATATTTTAATGGGAGCCGCCCACTCTAAGGTTTACAGATCCAAATGGCAACTGGGACTCCCTCCTTTCAAAAATTAGAGAAGATTAAGTTCTTATGGTAAAACAAACTACCTCTTCCAATATATTAGAGCAGTTCTCTTGATAATATACATGGACAAAAGGTCCTAAAATGTGGGACAGAATTGTCTTAACTTCTTATCAAGTATTTTAGCCACATTTATGTTTATCAAAGTAAAGTCATTCACATCAGAATTGCAAGGTCACATTTTTGCATGTATAATACAATCCAGAGCATTCAATCTGGTCAAAACAGAAAACCAAAAACGAATCCCGTTAGGTGCAGAAAGGCAACATCCCCTTCAGTTCAGAGTAAAATTCCTTTCGACCCATTCAATGAAAAAACATGCTACCAAGTTCTTATTACCCTATTAAGGTCCAAGTGGGGTCCTGTGCACCCACTCAACCAATTTTCGCAAGTAGAATTTGTGTTTGGGTATGCACCCGCTGAACTTGATGGGTGCTACAGAATATTAGAAAATACAAAAAACATCAACCAAAAAACCGAAAAATCTTGAAACCAACCCAAAAAAAAATCCATCGAAATCAAACAAAATACTTAAAAAATGCCTCAAAACAGAGGAATTCGGCTAAAAGTACATTGGATGACGGGATGACTTTGCAAGCCTTTGATCCACCTTAAAGGTGCAGCCACTCAGACAAAAATCCTGGGTCCATCACTATATGTACTCAGAACAAAATTTGATCCATTGCTAATATAAAGTCAAGATGTACAACTTCAGCATTAACTGGTTTATACATAAACAAATGTGTGATAAAAGAAACTTTCATGCCACGGAAGTAAGAGACATACTTAACTCTAAGATAGTACTTCAAAATCAATGCATTTGACATATAATATTAGCTCCATTATAGTGTACTTCCAAATATTGGTAAATCATTTATTTGATGTGAATGGTAAACTTTTACACTAAATTTGACTTATTCTTGGAACACATTGGTTACAAGGCTAACTCTAATCATGGCATCTGGAGGTATTCTGAATTAGATGCACCTTTCAACCATACTAGTTTTGTATTGATCCAAATCAATTTCATCTTCATGATTTTCAAACATCCAAGTCCCTGAAATTTTCATAGGTAAGAACTAAGTTCAAAGTTTTGAATTTCATTCTAACTGAATGCAGAAAAATAGCCATGTGCACTTGAACCAGCATTTATTGGCAACCAAGAAAATCTGTGTAGTATAAAAGCTTGTAGCTACTAGTCTAGTTACATTTATTTATTTGTCAATAATTGAATAGATTCGTACCAAAATTTGCAGCTTTCTGAGATTTTCAGCACATTTATGTAATTAACATTTTCACCTTTAGCTAGAAGCTACAGTTTTCAAAAGTAAAATACCAATAGAAACTAAAGAAGTTAGCTCTCATTTAATCTTGCACAAATTCGCAATTTAATCGAAGAAACTCGATGAATTACCTAAAGAGTCAATGTAGCCTTGAATCTTCTCGCACAAATTCCTTAGAGAATCCTCCGACAATGGCTCGAAATTGAAGCTCTTCCTTACCAAACTCCTTCTGCTACAACCAAAGCAAAATCCGCCACTGTCAATCTCAACAAATGACCTGATTTCGATCTGTTGTCCGACCATTGATACTCCGAGAACTTCTTTCTCGACGGACAGGCACTGAAGGACGTTGCCGTGATCATACCACCGGAGTATGCCGTCGGTTGACAAAGTCAGTCCTGTTTTGCCGCCGTTTACTAGAACTTCATCGCAGAGTATATGTTGTTGATCCATCGGTTATGCTTCCGGAGCGGCAGGTTCGTGAAAGCAGGATATGTAGCGTGTGGGGCGGAGGATACGAACATAACCCGAACTCATCATCGGTTTTATCTGTAGAGGACAGAATCAGATCTCTACAAATATTAAAAGGTTGCAAAACTACAAATATTAAAAGGTTGCAAAAATACAAGAAAGTTATATTGAATCATCTAAGCAAAATATGGTTAAGGTTGGATGCCTCAAGAGATCTAAATACCTGTATTACATTTGGTGGGTATTTGGGATTGGGTTATTTATAAAAATAACCGGTTTATACAATCTTTTGCCACAAAATAACCATATTTTAGAGGTTTTGCCAAAATAACCACCCAGATCGTCCGGTACCCAATGGGGACGATCCCCCTTAAAAGCCTTTAAAAAAAATCCTCAAAAGTCGAGATTACTGTTCACCTCGTTGACCGTGTTTGACCTCATCCCGGGGCGATTCGTATTGTTCACCCGTGTTTTTTTTTTGTATTTTTTATAAAATTAAAGTTGTATTTTTTAACTTTTTTAGAACCAAATTTTATGGGAAAATTATTTTTCTCTGTGTTTTTTAAACCAAATTTTATATTTTTTGTGTTTTTTATTTAACAATTAAGGGGTGTTTTTAATAAAAATTGAAAAATACATAAAGTGTGTCTTTTTACGTATTTAATTTTAAATTTCACGGTTTTTCGTTATAAAATAACCAGATGATAATTGTGGTTACGAAAAAAAAAATTTAGTTGATTTTTGGAGAAAAAATCAGACATTATATCTGATTTCACGGTTTTTGATGATATGACAACTCTATGACGTCGATTTGACGCCGATTTGACGTTGATTTGACGATGATTTTGTTTTATTACTTAACGTTTTATATAAATTGCACGTGGGGGACCATTCATCCCCACCACCGACCATCCCACCGCCCGTTTTCTCTGGAAAAAYCGAGCGAAAAACCGAGCTTTGACCATCCCACCGACCATCCCGACCAATATCGTAGCCATTCTTCGACATACCGTCATAGACTACCGTATAACGACATCGGCGACTTTCCGCCGCCACCGACCACCGTGGTCCGCCGCCGTCGGTCACCATCCGCCGTCCTCGGGCACCATCCGCCGCCACCGACCACCGTCATCGGCCGCCCCTCACAACCTTCCGGCGCCAACAACCACCCTCCGCCGCCAACGACCACCGTCAAGAGCCGCCGTCCACCACCCTCCTC